AAACCAATATATGATTCACCAACTAATAAATATCAAGAGTTCACAAATGCCTATGTGTATAGTGTTATGGTAAAAACGAGTAATCATAATCCCGATCGTGCTGCTGTTTGTCAAAAAGCCATAAATGAGTGGAATAATATTAAGAAAAAGAGTGTCGATGATATTGATAATAAAATTCAGGACTATATGGCCACACCATTTAACTTGTACGATATATAATCAATGAGATACAAACGTTCTGTGACTAAAGAAAAATCAAATCCTTCACCTTCCCCTTCCATCATTCATTCAGTAAACCTTCTAACACAAATTCTTACTAATGCCTCAGCTCAAAAAAGGGCAGCGGATGCAATCCAAATAACTGAAAAAAAGATTTATGAATTCGAGCAGATTTACAATATTACCAGTGATGCTCAGCTTTGTAATGACATGTATCAAAAAGTAGAAAATCTGAGGGATGAAATTAAATCTAACAAAAATAGAATTGCCAAGTTAAAAAGAAATGCTAAATATGCCTAAAATTGCAAAGAAAAAAAATTAAGACAACTTATCAAAAATCAAGAGGTTGTCAGCTATGATAAACTGGGAAAGCCACTATTTCTCTTTAAATATCCAGATTTACATGAACGTATACACGATTGTGTGGAATTTGGATCTGCTGATGCAAAATATGGAAAGAGGTTGTTAAAGTTCGGATAATAGAAAATTTGCGTAAAAATCTTGAAGAAAGATACGAAATTTACATGGTGAGGACTACATTAAATAATCACCTTTTACCTCGCCAATCAAACTCAATCGCCGCTAAAGCACACCATCATCTGGCATGGGTCGCAGTCACCAGAGTTTCATGAACTGAGATGCGTGAACATCCTGATAGCCATTATTGCCTTGAGTCAGTAAAATTTGCAAAGCAATTCGCTAGCACTTTTGCTGATGTTTCAGTTGTTATCTCTCAAGATGACAAAGCAAAGATTGGACTTGGAGTACCTGCGGTAGGTCGCACATTTCGCACATTATAATCCACTAGCGAACCTATGACTGTAGCAGACTATGAAAAATTAATCCCATCAGTGTATTTGATGATAAGTCCAAATAAATCTAATGATGAGCTGCGAACAGAAAAGTTAGCGATTTTTGTACATCCCCAATGGTCTCTTGGCACATCTTCGCTTACGCATATGCAAGACTTGAAAAGCTTTATTTCGAATTCTCAATATAATGATGTGCTGAAAACAAATGGAATGGTCCGACCAATATGGATTTTATTGGTAGACGGAGAGCTGGATGAGAATCCTAAACACTTAAAAAATATCAAAGCCTATTGTCAGCTTTTCAAGAAGTTCGATTTGGATTTTTTAAGTATAAGAACACATGCCTCAGGTTAGTCAAAGTATAATCCAGTTGAAAGAAGTATGGCAACATTGTCTAGCAAACTCGCTGGTATTACTTTGCCAATTGATCACTTTGGTGTACATTTGGATACACAAGGTAAAGTTATAAATCTGGAATTAGCTGCTCGAAATTTTCGTTATTCGGGAGAAGCCTTCTGTGAAATTTGGCATCGTGATTTGATTTTCAGAAAGAAGGTCGATGTTTGTTACATTGATGTACTCACAGATCCATTCGAATACATACAGTTTGAGAGAACGGAAAAGAAAAGGTTGAAAAATTAAAAAGGAGAAAAAAAGAACAAAAAAAATCAAATAAAGAAACAATACATACCAATTCTGAATGTTTTGTACCGTAGTCTTGGATCGAAACCCACTGTAATTTGTGCAACTACTCTCTTGATATCAAATGATGCACAAATATCAGTTGCTGTGGACCGCCAAGAGCCAAAGAAGCTATGGACTTTCTTCATCTGTATAATGATTTCTTACCACCAGTTACCAAAGCCAAAGATGGCCGATTCACAAATCCGATTCATTTTCTTCAGTATGTAGATCTCTTGAAAATATCAGTTATGATGCCCATTGTGCATCTATTGAAAAAAATACATACTTACGACTTTGCTGCCCTACTTGTCAAAAGTATTT